CTTCATCAGACTCTTCCTCAGAGGTTACAAAGGAAGAGTCTTTTGAATAATTGGCCTCCCAATCCAGAAGGGGTCGCCGTGCGTCCTCCGGTGGGTAATTTCTCGCCATCGCTGCATGTGTCAGTTCGGGGAAGTAACGTAAGATGAGCAGGCCCACATTTATAAACTTACCTAGAAATGCCCTGATCCAAGGGGAGAAAATAGGAGGAGATAAAATTCCAACGCAGACCAATAACAGTTGGAATTCAAGCAACGGATGTTTTGAATTATCAGCCCTGCCCCACAGAGTGCTCCCTGATGTATTAATGAAGGGCAGGCAGGTCTGCGTTATTCTTGACTTAGTTTATAATTGTCTGTGTAGTGTAGGTTCTGCAATACTGCCATGGGAGGTGTGTCGCTTTGTGCGATCCCGTTCATTTAATAATACAACACCTGGTAAGAGTAGAGGTTCTTTATTTGGACTGCCGTCTTGGTCGGAGGGAGAAAGCAATCACCATGTGTACATCTTGTAGACTCTCCTACGACTGACTAATGGCTGCGCATGCTCTGTGTGTGCTCTCTGCGCAGGCATAGCTAATTGAACAAGCAAATACCATTTGCTCATATCATTACAGGAGGCAACGTTGATGTATTAATGAACTCACGTGAAGTATAGACATCCAATCGGCTTCGACAATATAGTGTATAGGTGTCCAATAGGTGTATAGGTGTTGAACAGTCCCCGAGGGCCGCTGTCCTGCATGTTTTCCCTTTGAATCAGGTGTGTTGCAAAAGGGTGAGATGGAAAACATGCTGAAAAAGAGCTTCCCCTCACACAGCCGAGCCACATTTGGCTTGAAGGAGGAAGCAGTTGAGATCCTCAGTAGACTTTGGAGATGCTTATCAGTAAGTGTGGTCCTGTACTTGGATTCACTGAAGTTCAAGGTAGAGAAGATCTTTTCACACAAGTATGTGCTCCCAAAAAGGAACATGGTCCACTTGAACATTTGGGAAAGCTCGGGGAAACTGGAAGTCAATTCTCTCAAGATCGCGGACTGGTCCCAATTCGATCGCGAGGGGTGTAGATGAGAAAAAAAACAAACAACCATTTGTGTGTCTTTGTGCATGTTAGTCATATATATTTTTTGTGTGTTAACATACACTGCACCCTAATCATCCTATCAGTCTCATCTTCACCCAAAAATATTTTTAAAAAATAAATCAGGTAAATCTTTAACCTACGGTGGCACCTGACCGGCATCACTGGAAGTTGTTAGCGCTCAGCAGTCTGCAATTGCAGCTTGTGATCAGAGCTGTTGTGCTCTATTTTTTATCGTTATCATTATTCTCATTCAGAATTTGTTTCGTGGACAATTCACCAAGGGCATGGGCAAAGAATAGGAATCTAGAGGGCCGAGGGAAGCACTTAAAAACGGTATGTTTGAGCTACGATAGTTAACAGGTTGCAAAAGTGTGTCGCATGTCTCCGTGTCAGGCTGTTGTTCATCATGCCGTGCGTGTGCGTGCGTGGTAACGGGTCAATCGCTGGAGGTTGTTTGATTGAAAAGTCGATCTTCGGTCCAAAAAGCACAACATCAGCATACTTCTGCATCCACGAGTGCCTGGCATGCTGGGAAATTGGAAAGGTTCAGTAGACATGTTTTAAGTTTGGCAACTTGGTCGGCTCTCTCATCTCGCTGGTATGTTACATAGTCCTTTGCATGTCCAGTTGTGTAATGACGTTTCAAATTGTATTCCTTATGCACTACAACTTTCTCTGTGCAAATAAGAAATGTCAGGGTGCCCGTGTGCTCCACAAAGAAGTATTGAATTTCCCACTTTTCGTGAAATTGTCTGTGCTCATCACCAACCCTTCTCTTGACTGCAGGCTTCGAGAAAGAAATGTTTGGGGCTGTGTAATATATATAATTCCACAACCCACCAACCATCAGTTGGGTTGCTGCAACCTCTACCAGTTCCACCTCGACCTTGGTCCCACAACTCCAGGGACTTCATCACCGGCCTTCCTCTGTCCTGAGCCAAGTACGTCATTCGCACAATTGTCGACCGCTTCTCTAAATCAGCTCATTTCGTTGTCTTGCCCAAGCTACCATCCGCCCTGGAGACCGGCAACCTCCTCATCATCCACGTCTTCCGTCTTCATGGGATCCCAGTGGACATTGTGTCCAACCGGGGTCCTCATTCATCTCTAAGGTCTGGAAGCACTTCTGCCAAGCCTTGGGTGCCACGGCAAGCCTTTCATTTGGATATCACCCTTAATCCAATGGTCAAACAGAGAGAAAGAATCAGGAATTGGAATCAGCTCTATGCTGTGTTTGCCTTCACCGGCCCGCGTCATGGGACACCCATCTGAGTTGAGTATGCGCACAGCAACCTCAACCGACACTGTGCCCATTGCAGGACGGGCTGGTGGAGATCCCCTCAGGTCAGCTCCACTTGTAGCAGGCCCACAGAATCTGGAGGGAGACCACTGCCACCCTGTCACGTACCACCTCTCGCAATCGAGCGATTGCGGATCGTCGGCGTCGCCCAGCGCGCCGGCATACCAAGTTGGACAGAAGGTGTAGCTCTCGACCTAGGATTTACATCTCACATATCACGCAAGTTGGAACCAAGGTTCACGGGACCTATCAAGGTGGAAGACATCATCAACCCTTTCCGTCAAGCTCCGGCTGCCACCCACCATGAAGGTCCATCCTGTCTTCTACATTTCCCTGCTCAAGCCTGTGGCAGTCAATCCCTTGCCTGCTCCTCCCACCCCGCCTCTTCCTCCGTGGGTGATCGACAGCGGCTCTGCGTACACCATAGGTGTCAAACTCAGGTCCTGGAAGGCCGCTGTCCTGCATGTTTTCCAAGTGTCCCTGTTGCAACACACCTGATTCAAATGAACAGGTTCAATGTCAGGCTTCCGGAGAGCTTGCTGATGATCTACAGGAATTTATTTTCTCTCGAAAGGAAATTGAGTAAAATGAGGCAAAAATATAATCAAGTACAAAAAACATAAAATAATACGAGACCGGACAAAATCTCCCTTTCCAATTAAAATAAAAAATAGCTCCCATCATGTTGGCATACAGGAGGTGCAAAATCTTATTCATTCTTGAGGCTCAAGTTGTTAGATGCGAGTGGATCATTATTCAAATCTCCATTAATCGAAAATAAAAAGTAATTAGCAAAAAACTGGATCACAATATCATTTTCAGGATTTATTACTTAGCTATGTCATGATTCTGTTTGTGACCAACAGGTGGCACTGTAGGGTTCTCCCTGCAGCCGCACACCTGTTGGTCGTTAGGTGATTAGTACCGGTCGTATCAAAGGTCTCCCAGCACGACCACCCATGGTCGGGTCATTGTTGCTGTTTGTTTGCTACTGTCATGTTTGTTCCGGTCATGTTTCGGTCATGGTTAGTTTTTGCTTCAGTCATGGTTTTGTTTGCTACTTTGGATTCGTTTTGTTTTCAGGACTTTGCTTGTTTAGGATTTCGTTTTCTCTGTTTTAATACAATTTGTCAAGTTCACCCTGCTCCTCCCTCTTGCCTGCTTTTTGAGGTCCACCACCACCTGGCAATCCTGACAAGCTATTTGGTGAAGAACTTTGACCTGAGTTTGTATTTTAGTATGGGCTGTATACATTAATTTTATTTGTAAATATTACATTTTTTTGAAACGATAGAAACAGACAATAAAGCAAATATTTCCATGTTTTAAACAAAAGTTCCCTAACTTGGGAAAAAAAACACAAAAAAAAAACAACATGCATTACATTTTCTAGAACTATATTACATTAACGATCGATTCCTTACAATGGAAGTTCCTCTACCTGGAACCCAGAAGCCATATGGAAGCTCGCAAGAAGTACAAACTCAAGCAGTTCCCGCTATGGAATAATTATGTCCGCTCCTCTATTTTCTATCATCCGATCCGAAACGGCGACATGTAAGTGACTCTTTATTGGCATGAGTTTTACGATAATTGTGAAATATTTTAATTTTATTCATTTACATGAATGTCCTGTAGCTCATGGCATCCAAACGAAGAACAACGGTGATGACCGTGAAAGAGAGACTTAACTACAAAGTAAAAAATATGGAGTCGGAAAGACTCAAATCTATGAGACTTTGAAAAACAAGGAATCGATTCTAGCTTACTACGAGACATTACAGCTGGTCACAAAATGTGCATAAAATGCTAAATATCGTTCACTCTGATTCATCCGATCAGATTGGTGTAAAATCTACCCATTTATTGTATCGCAAAGGATTTACCATGAACTTTATGCCATCCCTGGGTAGGCACTGGAAACTGTACCAATTACCAAGACGTTCTCTACTCATCTGGTGTGCATCTTCAAAACATTGCTCTTGTTTTCTTAGATTCAACTGGTTCTAGTTGTTAGTGCAATGGCAGCTTGTGACTTCCAATAATAAAGGATCTTCCAATCAGTATGGTTTGATCTTTTTTGAATTGACAGACAAAAATTTTTTCTGCAGACTTCAGAAATGTTGAAGTAAATTTTGCTACTGTCATCACGTGTTATATCACCAATGAAGATTAGTAAAGCCCAGAAAAAGCCATGCTAGCTCAAGACATGACGTTACCTGAGACTAATGTATGTTGGGACTTATGAGCCACTCTGTCCAAAGGTTTAGCCTCTCTTTTATTTAGATAAAGGTTGACTTTACTTAAATATTTCCCATAAAGTTTGTAATAGTTCAATGAGTGCCCTTTAAAGAGCCAAACACTGAATAATGTTTCCATATCCTTTTAAGACCACATAAAAGAAACTGGAAAATGTCATTGTTATCCGGTAGTAACATGGTTTTATTTAACTGTTTTTAATCTGTTTGCTCAGTATGCATGGGTGAATGTGCACTAAAGGATGTCTGTTAAAGGTCACTTATGACAGCTGTTCCAGGATCAGCTTGTGATTGTGTCTTCCCCCCCCCCCCCTTACGTGGCAGACCTCCGATTGGCTGGCCCACTGAGTGTTGGTGAGGTGGGAGTGGATAGACACGAGATAAAAGAAGAGAATGTGTCTTGCCCTGTGTACACCCACACATCTATTCGTAAACACCTTCACGTCAAACTGTACATTAGACTTTTTTTGAACAACAAAAAGCGAGGAAGAGTTCCACAATATACCACTTTTGGCGCTGGAAATGTGAGTACACACACACACACACACACACACACACACACAC